AGAAGGGGATAACAAGAAGGTAAGTATCTTTTCTTTCATTCGGACTTTTGGGAACCCGCCAGATCTTATCAATCGCCGCGCGCGCCTTGCCAAGGACGGAAAGCCACGCCGACACGGTTTTGATGCGGCTTGTGGTCGGTTGCTGCCGGACCTCCGATTGGCTTACGTCACGGCGGCAGCAACTCTTTGCCGATTTCTGAAAGTGGGGGAAAGTTCTTTTTTGGGCGTTGGGGAAACACAGCGAGCCCAGGGCAGGTGGATATATGGGTAATTAAGGCCAATAGGAGACGCTATGTAACTAATAGTGGCATATTGCGAATCAGAGGGAGAAATCGCATCTTCAATCATGTAATTATCCAGAATAGTTTTGGTTTTTGCTCCAATTCTTATCTATGTTTGAGGTCTACCGTCGACGCGGCTGCTGCTGCCAACGTTATAAGCGTACGGTAAATCCGTCGGACTCCGGGTCTCGACCAGGCGGATCACGCTGCCTCCAGAGCTACCAGAAACATTCGATTGCACTCGTCGAAGCGACCGCATCGATGGCGTCCGAGGAGGCGCCAGGGTTCGCTGCGCCTCCGAGCGTCTCGACCAAATAGGCGACCAGCGACCCTGTCTAGCGCCGTCCCAAGTGGACGCATTCGAAGGCCGTAGACTATTACTCCGGCCCCGCGACATGGCTTCACTATCGCCATAGGAATCCACCGTATCAGTTTCGCCCTCCTCGTCCGAAGGCCCGATAAGAGACTCGCTGTCAGCCTGGGAACTCCCACCACCCCGCACCTCATCCAAGATCTGGGGATCCAAAACCTTCATGCCCCTCAGGAGCTCCGCAAACACATGCATCAAAGTCCTGAACTCAGCCTCGTGTAGCTCACGCGTTGAAAAGCGCGCCCGCTCATACAGAGCGACAAACTCCATCCCAATTTCCGGCGGATCAACCACATTCAGCGCAGCCAAATGCTGCAAATACCCCCGCAGACCCATCGATATTGGCCGCCGCAATACTTCCACCACCCGCGTGTCAGGAATCGACTCTTCGGTTTCGGGGAATGGCGCGTGAAGCGCCCGCTGAGTGGCTGTGAAGATCGGGTCGGGAGGAGCGAGCGACACTGCCTTGGCCTCGATGAGATGAGGCAGTTCCTGGACTACAGTCCGATAGGGAAGGTCGGGCAGGTCAGGACATGAGGGCGAGGACCATCCGGGGTGCTCGACTTGACCCCAGGGTGGATTGTCGTAGTCCACCAGGAGCGATTCGTAGCCTGAGAAATCATGTTCGTCGGCTGCAATGTCCCTAGGTCGAGCCTGGTAGGCTATGATCGCACTATGCGCCAAACCTTCCTTAACCAGTCGGCGCACACTCTTGCCGACGTCTTCGCGCTCGACGGGGATCCATGCTTTGGGGATGCCGGAGAGGACGGTTCGGTTGGTATATATACGCGTGGTGTAGATTAGAACCGCGAGAATGAATGTGACAACGTAGCCGCCGGTGATGATGAAGATGTTCGTGAGGCGCTGCGTGATGTAGCACTGGTAGATCGCATCGGCGGGAGTCAGGATGATGCAGAGGAACAGGACCAAGGAGAGGAAGGTGAAGACAGTTAGGTTCAGGACGCGCTGAACGTTGATGGCCATAACCGCGAGCACGTCATATTGCGCCGCAGTACCGGCTGCTCTCAGGTGCAAGCAACTGGCCGGTAGAAGATATACTGCGTAGCTGGGATTAAGGGGATGCCCGTTGCGACCGTGAGATGAGCTGGGTGTCACGTGGTTAATGTGGGCGCGATCGGCGTTTGTCTTCCTGTACGGATATTGTCTCGGAACAAGCCATCCCTACCATATCTACTATGTTTCTGCGATAATTCCATATGGCTTCCCAAAGGTATATATATGCCTACGCTTATGCTTCTATTGCTCTACGTGTATTAATGCTAAGGAATCACGACCTTTAGTCGTCCTGGACAGCCACCTCGTCCTCCCACTGAGGCTCGAACTGCGCCCGAGCCCGGCGGATGACCCGCTCGATACCGTCCAGACCCATCTTCAGGACATCCATCTTCGGGCCGTAACTCAGACGAACGAAGTGGTGGCAAGGGCTGTCGAACAGGTCTCTTCTGTGAGCGGGGTTCAGGTCGAAGAAGATACCAGGGACCACAATGACCTTCTCGGTCAGGAGGGCGTTGAAGAAGTTCAGTCCGTCGGACAGGTTGGCCTCCTTGGGGAGAGGAGGGTCCAGGGAGGTCAGGTCAAGCCAGATGTAGAAGGTGGCCTGGGGCACCTCGTCGATGCGGAAACCGATCTCACGCAGACGCCCAACGACGAAGTCTCTCTTCTCGCGGAAGTGCACCTGGAGGGCCTTCATCTCGGCACGCACCAGCGACGGCTCGAGCATGGGAACGGCGGCTTCCTGGAAAGGCGCATTGGCACCACCGTCCAGGTAGGAACCAGCAGAGCCCAGGGCGTCGATGAACTCCTTGGGTCCAACAACCCAGGCGATACGCCAACCCGGAAGACGGAAACGCTTGGTCAGACCGTCAATCAGAAGCACATCTGTGAGAGTCAGCATGGCAGGAACAACCTGCACCGGTTCTCGTTTGTTCAGGGAGGGTCAGCGGGCGAACCATCTTTGTTGACATCTTCGACGTTGGTGGCACCACTGATCGTGGTTCCGTCACAGTCGGTAGTGTAGTTGTAACCGCCGTAGAATTCATCCAGGATCAGAGTCGCACGATCTCTGCAGATGTCCTGGATCTGAGCAAGCTCGGGGTTGGAGACAAAGTGTCCGGTAGGGTTACGAGGGTTGGAGGTCAGCAACACAGACGTTCCACGAGCGATCTCCTCGGCGATCTTGTCGGGGTGAATTGCGTAGTGGTCGTCTTGGGCGAGGGGAATGGGAATAGGAGCGATCTAGATGCAGAGTTAGCCACCGTATACAACCCGGAGCCCTTTGATCACTGCAGTCATCCCACTGGCAGCGCTGATTCATTCGCACTCACGTTCTTGAACAGCGACAACATCTCCGAGTACGCCGAGTAATCAGGGATAGGGAAAGACAAGTACGAGTTTCCCAGAATAGCAGCGATACGGATCAGACCCGCACGACCACCGGGGACAATGCAGACGTTCTCCCAGGTGTACTGACTGGCCTTGCCCTGACGGTAGTGCTCATTGTAGAGGCGAGCGACGGCGGCACGCAGAGGCTTGATACCGGCGGTGGGACCGTACTCACGGGCGGCGGAGGTGATAGGGATGGAAGTCGGACGAGGGAAACTGCCCTCGATCTCATCATCGGCTTCAGGGGCACCCTGGCCTAGGTTGGCCCAGGAGTGAGGGTCCTCAGCATAACCATGTTCGGTGGCACGCTCGGTACACCAGACAACACCGGTGGAGGCACGGGAGGCATCGAGACCGGCATGAGGACGGTGACCTTCGTGGGCGCTACGGAACTGACGGTGGGTTTCGGAACGAAGTTCTGCATGACAGGATGTGATGTTAGTTGGAGTATAAGCAATAGTCCTCGACTAGTAGCTTGTGTTGTTGTAAGGGAACGGAGGATTATGTGCCCCTCATGCACAAGGCTGAGGCAGCATTGCTGCATGCAGTGGGAGCATGTATAGAAGCAAGAGTGCAGGGAACATGACTTCTTCAAATGGAAGAAAGAATAAAAGGAAGACATATAAATAATTGAACAACGTACCATTCTCAGACAACTCCTTACCGACCGAGAAGCGGCGGTTGGAGGGGCGCAGGATGCTCAAGCGGCGGCCGGAGAAAGACATGCTGGGCTGCTTTTGCCAAGTCGCAGTTTCTGGGGAAGAATGCAATCTAGTGTATGCAAGCTATCGGAGTTCCCTGGATCTGAAGGAGTAAGAAAGGATTAATTAAGTAAAAATTTGGGGATATCTCTAGATCCGTACGAATAGACAACAGGGAGAAAAAAAAAAGATAGGTACGTAGTAGAGGCAAAGATAGAACTTACTCTCCAAAAGAACAAGAGTTGGAGAACAAAGAATTAAGAGGGGAGAGAGAGGAGAGGTTATATGAATAAATAAGAATGAAGAAGTAGATAGTCAGACAGACCAGCAAATAATATGAAAAGGGAAAGAAAATAAAATAAAAAAGTGACCAGAGAAGAAAAAAAAGGTACAAGTAATTTTTCTCTTGTTAAGGCGTTAACGATGGATGGCTCCCTCCAACTCATTGCTTTGCCTTGTTGGTCTTGCTTTTCTCCAACTTTTCCTTTCCGCCCAATCTACTCTCACTCTACGGCATATCGACCCAGACCCAGACTCAGACAGACAAACTACTACCACCCACCATTCTCCTTTTTCCTAACTCCTCTCATCTGCGACAAATAATAATAATAACACCTACTAGTAGTTTCAGCCCGCAGGCACCAGTCAACTTTCTTGACAAAATTAGAAAGGAGGAAGGAAGGAAGAGAAAGAGCGAGCAAAATAATCGCGCAACTGCCGCCTCCTCCAGGGAAAGCAAAGCAAAAAAGCAGCCTTACAACCACAACCGTAAAATGCCTCACAACTAAACTAACTGACTAGTAGTTTCGAGGGTTTCGCGGTCAACTGCCACACACACACACCGCATACGTGACGAATCGTCGAACCCAGAATCAAAAGGTTTGACCCAACCGTCTCGTCCAGACCGCAATCATTTTCCCGTGGCTCAGTCCCGATCGACGGGCTCCAAGTGGACTCTTCTTTCGGCTGGGATCCGACACCGGCTCCAATGAATCCCAATCCCAAATCATCTGCCATCATTCCTTCCGAGACCATACGAACTTACATAGTAGTGTTGTAGACTTGTAGTAGTATCGATTGCCGGCCCCAGTAGCAAAATGACGAGTGGCGGTGGCTGCTGCCTCCCCCCCCTTATTCCCTTATCCCCTATCGATCTTGTCCACCTATCTATCTTTGGTTTATATGATCGGATGGACGGCATCTCAAGAGAGTTGCGACCTGTCTAATGACAAACAGGGACTGGATGGACACCCACCACCCCCTTTCAGCCCTTTCAGGCCCCCGTTGGTTTGGACCGTGGAGTGCCCGAAGTTCCACTTCTCGGTACTGATGGATCCGTGGAATTATGGCGCCCCCCAGGTACTTACTAACTTACTAACTCACTAACCAACCTATCTCCTATCTCCTCCCTACTCCTTTCAGGTTTATTTTTGGAGCCATTATTCTCGCCATTGTTCATACTCTATATCTGCACCCAGCACCAAGGAAATCTAAGGTCGTAATACTATCATTGACAGGGCCAGCACGGAAAGCCAGCAAAGAAAAAAAAAAAAAGGGTAACAAGCAACAAATCAACAAGCACAACAGATGAGGTACCGCAACATCAAAGTCCATCCCAAGGCACAAATATGCAGGAACACTATACAGCTCATCTCGTATGTCCGACATCCGTCCTGCGCAATCAATGAAGAATCGGAAAGCCAACAAGCGGTATACATACATCATGCAGTCATGGTAGATCAGTTCAAATGGAGAGTCATCAACATTTCCCAGAGCAGAGAGCCGCCTCTCCCAAATCCCAACAGGGTGTCCGAAGTAAACCCACAAAACCCGCTCCTTGCTAGGGTCCATCAAGAATCAAGCGCCCCGGCCGATAATCTTTTTATTTTGCCTCTCCCTTAACCCATGCGAATAGAATCAGTAGCCTCTCCAACGCTCTCCAGCCAATCCAGTTGGATGTGAGTCGTCAACTAAACCAAGGAGACAACACCGGTGACAATGTCTCATCTCTTGCCAACTCACACAGAATGAGATGCGGAGAGTAATCCAATGCAGCGATGGTCGGAGAATCAAGGACGAAAAGTAACGGTAGGAAACAAAGTAAGGTAGTGAGAAAATAAGGCAGAAAATAATCTTCAGTACTGGAACATATGCATGCCATTTGCTCCAGCTCTATCATATCTAAGTCTCCACTGCCTGACAGTAGAGTTGAATCTCGCCTACTTGACCCCTAGCGAGCATGTCACGCTGTTGTTCGCGCCACTCCATGAATGCCAGTTGAACGGCCTCGTCGCTGTCAATCGTAACAAAGTCTCCGTCTTCGTCCCGGTATCGTAGCCTGACCGACTTGCTGCCAATTGAGCGGTTGGTGAATCGGGCCAGCTTGGCGTCCACACGATCAATGAGCGAGCGGAACATGATGTTGCTGGCAATGACGAGAGTGACGTAGTTATCATCGAAATTCACCTTGACCTTGAGTTGCGTCGGCATGAGGGGCTCCTCATCCGGCTCGTGGCTCAGTGGAGACGTGGGCTGATCGGTGGCCGATGTGCTAGGACGGTAGTCAGAGTATTGGGGCTCGTGGAAATGCGTGTGCGGCACATGCCGGGGATCGGAATGTTGCTGGGAGTTGGAAAGGTGGTTTGCGTTGCGAATGGGGATGTTGGCATTGGTAGGGGAGTTGTTCTGGCTGCGGTTGGGAGGCGCCATCATGCTGGATATGTGAGCGGGAATCGGCGGGACGGGTACGTTGTCGACGGTCTGCATCGTATGGGCGCCCATGTAACGACGCATTTCCGGGTTGTGGGTGTGGTTGTGGATATCGGGGCTACTCGCGGATCGCATTCGCTGGGCCATGCCATTTGCCGCCTGGGCCCCTGACATCGGAGGGAGTGAGGGTCGTTGAGCACTTCGTCCATTCGGAGCACCGCTGAAATAAGGATTTGAATTAGGCCCATCTCTTGACGTCGCACGGGACAAAGCCGGGGCTGTATACCGAGCATTTTCTTCATTCCAGTTGCCTGTAGGTGTCACTTGACGACCATGGAAATATCCAGTAGACTGGGAGCTGGACCGTGTAGACGGAGTTTCGGCGACGGGGGAGAAGTAAGATGGAGCGTTCCTCTCTGCTGGCGACATACTGCCTCCAGAAAGATGGGTGTGCAGTGACAGATTCGGATCGGGTACAGGTATGCGAGGGCGACCGGAGCTACCGCTGCCTCCTGTTGCTGAACGGGTTCGGAGACTGGTGCTGGAGGCGTTACGGCTCATCGGGAATTCCGAGAAGAAGCCTGCTTCCTGCGTGGCTGCTTGCTCTTCCGCATAATACTCTTGTTCATATGGGTTCGGAATGTTGGACATGGATCGCATGTACGTGAATTCGGTCTCGGAGGTGCCGGTGTTGCGAGCGCTGCGCTGCTCTGCCTGGATCGCCCGTTGTGCCTCAATGTCCCGGCTCCATTTGCGCATGATGTCCTCGTTCGAATAGCGAATGATGAAATTGTCCACGACTCCTGGATCACCCTTCCAGAAGATCTGGATGCGGTAAGAGCCTATCACAAAGTCATTTAGTCAAAGCAGCTCCCGCAAGTGTTTGGAAAGTCCTCGTACCTGGCTTGGGAAGGCAGAGCACGTCTGTCACGTTCGCCATGTAGATGCGGCCTTTGAGCTGAAGCCGCGGCTTGCCTTTAATCATCGCAGCGGGCTTGTCTTTGCCTAGATTCAGTTTCGACTTTTGCTTGTTAGGGTTGATATCCTTGCAGCAAAGGAGTATCCGTTCGAAGAGATAGATATGATACTAATCCAAAAGTCAGCTGGCTGTTCTCTCCACTCCATCTTCGCAAAAGGGGCCTGGAAAGGCTACTAACCTCTCTCTCTGAGTCTTTGCCATTATCACCCTTGATCACCGAAAAGGTGCCAAATCGGAGAAGGTCACCAAATGCTTCAATCTTCAGAGCCTTCCAGTCATCAACTCGTTCATCGAGGTCTTTGACAGCAGACTGCAGGTGCTCTTTGTCAATGGCATCATTTGCCGAGTCTAAAACGGTTTGGATAGCGTCGATGGCTCGTTGGATGTCAGTCCGGAGGTCTGGGTTTTCTGTTTGCTTTAAAAGTTCCTGCGTGGTGGTCAGTAATGAGACTGGCGGCTATGTATTGAGAGGAGGGAATCCTTACCCCTAACATCAGGGGGTATTTAGTCAAGCGCTGGAAAGGCTTGACAAAGAAACCGTTCAAGGTTGCGGGTTGCGCCACCATCTGTAGCAGGTCCTTGGACCGCGGAGCCATGTGAATCTTGTCCCAATCTCTGAGACAGATCTCATCACAGCGCATCTGGTTGGCGATAAAGGGCTCATATTGGCGGAAAGCTTCCTCGTGCTGGATAAACAGCTCGCCCCAGTTTTGTTTCTCTTCGGGCAGCGCATAGTGCTGTTCAATACGGATCAAGAACCGCTGAGCAAAATCAAGCAGATTGTTGAGATTCAAGAAAATTTGATGGCTAGCATCACCATTTACAGCACTTGTCTCTTCTAACTCCTTCTTCAGGGCCTGTAGATTCTGGAGATGATGAACATAGTCGCGCTCCGTTTCCAGTAACTCCTTGAGGATGTGTTCCCGTTTGGTGAGCTTGACGGCACCTTTCGCGGGGGCCCCTGGTCCAATATCCGACGGTCGCTTCAGCTGTCCCTGCATCTCCAGGATGTCCAGAACCCGGTTAACCATCTTAATCACTTTGGTGAAGCCAGTGGTGTTTTCGCCGTAAAGGTCCGTGATAAGGAAGCAGTCTTGCTGAGGGAATCCCAGCTCCTTCAGAGACGCATGGAGGAATTTGAAGGTGGCGGCTTTCGGGCGTTTGGCCTCGGCGACTTTCGTGGTGTCGATTTCCAGGACTTCTTCGGGATCGGAGGCATTGTAGATAGTCAGGAGGGGATAGCCTGTCCGGAGACAATTCCACAGCGACGCCACCGGATCGGTGTTCCCCTGAGCCAGATCGGCTTCCTCCATCTCTCGCATATGGGGTTCGAAGTTCGGTACTTCGGCCAGGCGCTTCTTGAGGTTGACGCAGCTCTGATAGATTGATTCGCCGCCGCGGCGGTTGATGATGTTGTCCTCGGCGATAGGACCGCCATTCATGGTGATGGTCTCAGCCATCTCGACGGGGGTGGTGGCCGACTCGGACCGTAAGGAGTGGAGGCCGGCGACAATGTGGGGGAGGAGCGAAGGGCTTCAAATCTGCGCAGCAGACCGACGGAGGGAGAAAGAGGAAGGAAACGACAGGCGTGCTTGCACGAGGATCAAGTCGAGCATGGGTCACTGGATGCGAGCCGGTGGACCGATGCGGGATGGATGGGACAAGCGAGCAGCTAAGGAACCTTAGGAGTGGAGATGGTGGTACGTTAACTATTAGTTAACTCTCTCCCTAAAAGCTGAGTCAAACCGCGAGCTGTTGTTCCGTGTCTCGACCCTCGCCGCCAGAAGTCGATCGAATGCGTGAATTTAAAATACACCCTGGGGGGGTCGACGAGTTCACGCGACGAGCCGGATGGGTGATTTTTGTAATTCGGGGAAAGCTCTGCGCTTTTAATAGAAAATTAGTATGGCCTTGGCCAGGGACAAATCTCCGGCCCTTGCTGGCGACAGCGCCCTTCCTGATCAAAAGATGGCGAACCCGAAACCCAAGAAGGATCGAGAAAAATAGAAATGCTGGGTGTGGGGTTTGATTTGCCGCTGCAGCCAGGCAAGCGCAGGCACGTAGTAAGCAGGAACCAAAGAAAGAGCAGCAGCAGTAGCAAGTAGCAGCAGCAGGTTCCAAAGAGGCGGATTTTGCCCCTCAACCGAGAAAACAGCTGAAAGGTGGAAATCAGATAAAATATGGGAACGGGAAAGGATCCCTGGAGCGGTACCGCCGGGAACCGTAGGTGAAGGTCAATTTTAAATGAAAAACTAATAAGAATAGCTATGGTATGAAAAATAGGGTGGAAAATAAACCCGGAAGGAGAGAAAGCGAAGAGAGGGAGAGTAAAGAACAAGAGAGGGAGGAGGAGGAGGAGGAGGGGGGAGGGGATGATGGAGGGGAAGGAGGTCAATGGGAAGAAAGGAGGGAAAATGTGAGAAAGCAAAGGATAGACAATCAACAGTGACAAGAGATGGAAACACCGGAATGGGGGTAAGAAAAGGAAGAGTGAGAGAGAGAGTCCAGGCCAGTCAAGTGGTCCAGTTTGCCCGACTGAGTGGTAGCGCGCGTCAGCTCCAGTCGACGAGTGAAGAAGTGACAAACTTCCCGAGTACTACTATGGAGTACTCTGTACTAAACTGCGAGGAACTAGTCAGTCGGAAGGAAGGACTGACTTGACCAGGACGGGATGATTAAAGGGGGAGGGAGGAGGAGGGGGGGAGGGGGAAGGGAAAGAATGGGTGTTCGGGTGGGTGGGTTTGAAGTGGAGAGAGGAGAGACCGCAGTAGATACTACTAGTCAGTATCGAGTAGTGGAGGAGGGGAGTTAAGAAGCACAAAAGAGACACCGTGAAAGAGGGGGAGAAAAAGAAAGAGTTGACTGAGGAGAAAGGGTGCGAGACAAGGAGAAGGAGAAGAAGGAGGATGCAACATACCAGAAGAGACGCTGATGTGGGACTGAAATTGGTGGTTACTACCTTTGAAGAATTAGATCATAAGTAGATAGCCGATCGTGAAAGGTGGGAAAGGTCAGTATGTGAGTCGCGCAACCATAATACTTTTGACTATACTACTAATAATAATTATAATGAGGGGAGGGGGGGAAGGAATTAATCTGGGAGACAGAGAGAGACAGAGTCCGGGCAACGGAGACAGGAATGAGTACCAAACAATCAACAATTCCAAGTACGTATATGTTAGAATCTGGAATCTTCAATAACAGTGCACGTACTTTGGGGGAGGGAGTGTGGATGGTCAAGTCATATCTGACCGTCTTTTAGAGCAACAGATTTGAATTTCAATAACTACGTACTAAATTCAGTTCCAGGCCGAATTGGCAAAAAAGCTGGGGTTGGCCCCGGTAGGGATTCGAGAATGACCGAAGCAGATTGGAGGCCGCATCGGCTGCATGAAGACTCCTCTCACACCAACTGTTTGAGATTTGAACTAGTCCCGAGGCACGCTTAGATTGCCGCCCCATAGACTACCAATCTATCTATCTATCTATCTATCTACACACCACCACAGGAAAACTGGTTATACACCTGGAATTAAGAATAAATTTTTACTGTACCTAGAAAATACATCCTTAGATTACTACATACATTGACTCGTCTCATCATCATCTTCTTCATCTCCTTGCAACCTTTGTATCAGCATCGACAGTTCGGACATTTTTCCCTATTTCATGATCCTCGATCACTACTGTACATCCCAGGGGTAAGGATGCCCGACCTGCATACAATCCCAAACACAAGGAGCAACACACATACCACCTGGCAGGTACCACTACCCGCGACACAGTGTCCAATCTACTCCCAAGTCGATGGTTGTTCCTCTTTAGTCGCGATATCGACCCCATCGGAGCCCTGGGCACAGCACCTTCATTGGTCGGGAAAGTGACAGGAGTGGATGTCCACCGGTTTCAGGGCTGTAGTAGTGGTGGTGGTGGTCGATGATGGAATGATCCAAGCCACCGACGAGCTGGTCCTCATGACAAAAACCCTAATTATTATTCCCCACGAGGATGACAATTACGGAGGTTTGGGGGTTCATAGATGATACCAAGTTGCAGGATACTTTCCACTAGTCAGTTCCTGTAGGATGTAAGAAAGAGCCGGCTGGGAAGGTACCTTGCCGCCTTCCTCCTGCATCGGAAAAAAGAAGGTACTACCTACCTACTGGTTCCCGCCAACTCGGTCAGGCACAGGGTGTAAAGTTACATCCTGCTCTCCCCTTGCCTAGGAGTGACAGTCTCTATCCCGGTGGTTGGGTCAGTAGGATATGCTTGAACAGTACTTTTTTTATTAAAAAATCTCTCTCTCATAAAAATACACCCAAAATAAAATGAGCTAGCCCCTTCTTGCCTCGGTTGATCGTTATCGCTTGTAGGAAAGGGTGAACTGCCTGAGTCAAGTGTTGGCCCCACACCAGTTGCTCGCGCCATCATCGCCATCATCCCTGCTGAGACTATGCTCTCTCTGCCTGCGCATTTCGGTTCCAAAGCTATAGCTCAGCAAACACTGCACATTACAAATAGTATTATGGTTGAGGTACAGGGGCATTTAGTACTTCACCAAGAACAAGCCCACAACTAGTACTAGTAGTACTATGAGCAGCCGCAACATTGGCATTAGAGGATGGGTATATAAATATATATAAGTACCCCCAGCTATTCAAGTTTTGTGTAGAGACGACAGCTCCTCTGAACATGGTCGAGGGTTGAACGAGGAACTGGGTATCGCATGCAGGAAAGCAACACATCTTCTATTCTGGGAATTATTGTTCAGGCGCGAAGACGAGAAATTATACGCATTAAGGGTATGTGAAGAAGTTATGAAGATGCACGTGAGCTGGGCAGAATAGAGGCCACGGTTCTGATATAAAGTGCATCTAGCAGTTGAAAGTGGGACAGTGGCCTTAGGACTAGCTACTAGTACTATTGTATTGAAATTTGATGCTACTGGGACCATTATATATTCCACACCAGCAAAAGTAGACTGGCGCTCTGGTACTAGTAGTTAGTCAATTATGGTGCGCATCTCGTACCGCAACAGAATCATGGACAGACCAGATAGGTCCAGTTAGCTTATTGAGCTGATATTGACTAGAGGCTTGCCAGAGCATGCGATCAGGTCCCTTGCTGGGCTGATGTTCTATCAATTGCTTGGATGGTAGAGGACATCATAATGGCTGAAGTTAGAAACATCGACGAAGAGCTGAGAAAAGTAGATCGCCTTAAAGGAAATCAGAATGCATTAAATGCAATAAATGTATGAAAATTCTTTCCCTCGAATACTCTGTCTATAAATTGCTTATATCTCTGAGTTAAAAATGGTGGTGTAGTAGATTCTGAGTCGCCAAGTTCGACGAGGGTGTGGTTCTAGGTTTGACTATTTGACCCAGTTCGGCATAATATTGATGGCTCATAACTATTGCAAGATATTTAGATATTAGTAATAAACAGTGATAAAAATATGAAATATGAACTATGTTCTGTTAGTCAATGGAAAATGGTGTAGTTATCTGCTGGCAAAGATGAAAGTGGTCTCCCCGGTAAGGTAAACAATACCCGTCAGGCCATAATAGCTGGCTATTATTGATGCTCCACTCTCCGCGGTGTCAGTCACTCCTTCCAAAACGTCACTTCGCCAGCTTCACCACCCCCCCAACCACTCTGTCTCATCCATCTCCCGCCATGGCTTGCTAGTTTTCCATCTTTTCTTCTTCTCGGCCTTAATTCATCCCGGTCGTTATTCTCCTTCTTTATGTGGTTGTGCCAATAGCCACCTCTGCCTTAACCCCCACGGAAGGAAAGGGTGGTGTCCAGCTCACCTCTTTGCTTTCACAGTGTCCTAGGAGCCCTAGCCACCACAAGCCTTGCTTCCTTACCGGAGCACCTGGGCCCAACCTATCCTTGTCGCCCTTTTGTCTGAACGGAGGGGCCCCAAGGAGGCTTGAGAAACTAAGCTAGGCAAATTTCTCAGCGAACCCATGGCGAGGGACACCGCGCAAACTCCGATCATCCCTCGTCCCCGGCTGCTTCAGGGCGCCGCCAGTTATCCCTCCGACCTCACCGCCCCCTCGCTGTCTGCGCCCTTCAAGCTTGACGAGGGTTATTCCGATGAAACGAGAAGTCAGCCCGACAAGGACTTCCTGAATTCGCCCCCCGATGATGTGATGCCGCTCCCCGACTGGGTTAATGCTTATAATGAGGCTGAGCGAGCCGGTGAGTTAAGCCCCCCTTCCCTTGGTTCCGTCCGGCGCAAGGATCCTCTTCCGTTTGGCTTCTTAGCGCGATCATCATCATACTGACAGGCTGTGGTGTTTCATGTAGAGCTCGCCTACAAGCTTCTACGCACCTTGCGTGCTTCCACTGTCGCCTCGGTGGTTGAGAAGCTAGCGCCTCTATTGCACATGGATCCCGTGCTAAAGTTACCTCCGGAAATCACAGCCGAGATCTTCTCCTACCTCGACCCTCAAACATTGGTAACAGCTTCGTTGGCATCCCGCTCCTGGCGTGATCGCATTTTTGACACCCGTCTTTGGAGAGATTTGTACATCAGCGAAGGCTGGCGGGTCGACATTGACGCCGTGCATACGTACGAACAGGAACACTCGGGATTGGAATCCCCCCAACTCCGAAAATCTCGGTTGAGGCATATAGACCCGGATCTTGGTGAACCGAAACAGAAGAAGCGCGTACCCCCCAGCTGGCTAGACTCTCGCGCGACAGGATCGCTGGATAACAATGAGGCCGTGCAAGGAAATGGGCTGCAGCCTTCCGCAGCGGCAGATGTTGAGGGTGATCATCACATGAGTGATGCGTCGAACGATCGTGGACCGGTGCTCGCAGCTGGGCAACAATCATCAAGCGCACGTCATGAGTCGTCGGGAACTGCTCAACTGAAGTCAAACTTACAGCAGATTTCGACGAACGCTAGCCCTCCCAAGTCATCACTATTGATTCGGATGCCCAATGGTGCCGCGAAGATGAATTGGCCACATCTATATCGGGTACGGAGGCGGCTGGAAGAGAACTGGACCAAGGGCCGTTTTACGAACTTTCAGCTGCCGCATCCTAATCACATGGAAGAATCTCATCAGGAGTGTGTATATGCGATTCAGTTTACCGATAAATGGTTGGTCAGTGGTAGCCGGGACAAGACTGTTCGAGTATGGGACCTGGACACCAAGCGATTATGGCATCCGCCTCTTCAAGGCCACTCAAAGTCGGTTCTCTGTCTGCAGTTCGATCCCCGCCCTTCTGAAGATATCATCGTGTCGGGAAGCAGCGATAAGAATGTCATAATCTGGCGCTTTTCTACTGGAGAGAAGCTTCACGAGATTGCGCCAGCTCATGATGATTCTGTCCTAAACCTCCGATTCGACGAACGCTATATAGTAACTTGCTCCAAGGACAAACTTATCAAGATCTGGAACAGGCGCCAGCTTACACCAATGGACAAGGACTACCCCTCTGTTTTCCAGGGTTCGGGTGTCTCCTATCCCTCGTATATTGTTGACACAAGCGACATTCCCGCTTTTATCCTCGAGGCCGAAATTGCCAAAAATCACATTCGAACCTTGGCGCCATATTCGTTGCTAATGATCCTTGACGGACACACTGCTGCAGTGAATGCTATCCAGCTCAACGAGGATGAAATCGTGTCCGCCTCGGGCGATCGCCTGATCAAGGTCTGGAACCTGCGCAACGGCGCGTGTCGGAAGACAATGATAGGCCACGAAAAGGGCATTGCATGCGTACAGTTTGACAGCAAACGCATCATCAGTGGAAGCAACGATGATACAGTTCGTATTTTCGACCACGCCTCCGGTGCCGAAGTGGCCTGCCTGCACGGGCACGCCAACCTCGTTCGGACAGTCCAAGCTGGTTTCGGAGACCCACCGGGTGCAGAGGAGGCCTTGCGACTGGAAGCTCTGGCTGTCGACAACGAGTTTCGTGATGCTCAGCGCACCGGTGCAAACGTTGACCTCGGCCCTAGTGCCCTCCGGCGCGCCGGATATCAACAAAACACCAACGGGTCCCGGAACCCAAGAGACATCAAAGCCCTGGGTGCCAAAATCCCCCCGGGCGGAGGCGGGAGCCAATGGGGACGAATCGTCTCCGGCTCATACGACGAAACCATCATCATCTGGAAGAAGGACAACGAAGGCCGCTGGGTTGTAGGCCAGCGACTCCGACAGGCAGACGCCGCCGCCAATGCCTCATACAGCCACCTAGATTCCTCTGCACGCCAGACAATCGCACGAGCCAACGCCTTTGCTCAAGCGCACCAGGCGCAACAAGCCCAAGCTACCATGGCGGCGGCGGCGGCCGCCGCTGCGATATCAACAGGCGGTGGAGCACCGCAGCAACCACAACCACCACGTTTGTCGACCAACAACTCCAATTCTAACGATCCCTCCTCGCAAAATGCACCCTGGCCCGCGCACCTAGCCCTGAACCCGGCCCTCCTCATCTCCAACAACCTCCCACCCACCGTCCAGCAAAGCACACCTCAAGCTCAAACTCAAGCACCCGCACCCATAATGCATGCCGGCGCCCCAATGAGACCACCACCACTACCACCCCATGCTCAGCAACACCAACACCAACAACAGCAACACCCCCGAGTGAGAGCCTTCCCCGCCGCCCCCCAACAACCACCTACCTCGAGGATCTTCAAGCTCCAATTCGACGCGCACAAGATAATCTGCGCAAGTCAGGACCCGAGGATAGTCGGGTGGGATTTCACCGCTGATGATGAGGAACTGAAAGAAGCGTGTCAGTTCTTTACGGGGCTGTAACCTAGCCGCCTTACATTACTACTATCTATCATCAGCGTACGGGGAAAATGATGATGTGGTATAAGTGTTACCTCCCGGATCCAAGTTATATTCCTTCCCAACATTCTTTCTTCTATTTATATATCTATTCTTGGTTTTCTCTTTGAAAATCTCGTCTACCTTTTCGATGAATTTCTTGTGCATTAGGAGCCTGTCTATTTTGAGTTTCTTTTTTTTTCTCTCTGTCTCTTTATATGATTGCCTCTGGGTGATTTGTCTATATTGCATGAGAATCATTTCGTTTCTTCGACTCTTCTTCTTCTTCTTGTGGAGACTTTATCTATGTGTGTGGGTCTGCCTTGTCAGGCCTTGTTGTGTTCTGTTCATAACTCTTATCTTTAGAGCATTTCGGCATTGGAGCGATGGAGTCGGTTGGTTCATGTCAGCAGAGACGAAATGACTACAGCTGTTGTTCGTTTATGACATTGATAATGACATTGCCAATAATGAAAACTTGAAGTATGCAGTCACATTCTACAGGCTAGCGCTATTAATCTGGACAATAGAGACAACCCCGTCGATGAAGGCGCGTCTTGCATATGTACCATTTGGCGAGGGTTGAAAAACGAAGAAGCGATCAATTGTATCTGGCGCACCCCCAGTCCGATAACTGTGCTACTGAAAGGACAGCCTCACACAAGTATGCAAGTTATGGTTCAAGCAATCATTGGTATATGATTCAGGCCGACATCGGGCTTGTGTCCGGGACGTTGCGAGAGGGAAACGTCTGAAGCGACCTCCAAACTCCTGAGAGCCACTGTTGTAGGCTTTGCACCTGATTTGTCAGGGCATTAGCATGCGTATGTTCTGCTGCATTAGATGAAAGATGGCTTCTCGCAGTGGCGTATGTGTCATTGGAGGCCGTATTCGAATGAATGGCGGCGTCCTGCTCATTACGAGCCCCCATGCAGCAGGATAACCAAGAGTTGACGCCACGCAGCGATTGTAGCCAAGAACGCGAGTTAAAGTTGGCGGACTCACTTGCTTCCTGTGCGGTAAAGACGGGTGGTGACTCCGTGGGTGCAAGATAGCATGTCGCAGAATCCCCCACGCTCTCAGTGCCTTGGGCATCGAGGCTTTCCATATGCCTGGGTATGCCGGGCATTTGCGAACGAGACGCACAGGTATAAAACAAGTCAACCCTAGACGTAGGAAGAGAAGCATTTGCCGATATTGGCCGTTGAGAAGAAGATGTCAGAACTGGGCGAGGCAACGGTAGTAAGCTATTCAGGCCGATCTGTGGGCGATGTCTTCGCATGCGACTACCCGCGCCTGTGTTTGCAGGATCGGTGCTGTCAGCCTGGTTCTGTTTTGCATCTGAGAGCCTTGTGTTGATTTGTCCCTCTTGTGTAGCGCTGCTATCAACATCAACACCATCTTCGCAAGTAGCTGAAATGGCAGTTCGGTGAAAGGGATGGTCCTCCAATCGTCTAGCCAAGTTCATGCCGTGACCACTCTGCCTATAAGGAAAGCGACCTTGAACCGCAGTACCATCTTCTGCCCTCGCCACAATATATGTCTGACGTCTAGGCTGCGGGGGAGGAGACGATGAAAAGCTGAGGAGCCTTCGTAGCATCCCTCCGTAGGATCCCGTTCTAGAGCCATCAGCAACGCGCCTACCCGCACGCCTAGGCGGGCTTGGACTCGACTGCTGTGTTCGCCCACTGGTAGTGGCAGAACGGACGGGGAATTGAGCAGTGTAGTAGACAGCTTCTCGAGTTCCAAATGAAGGAAGTCCAGGGGGTGTGGGCGCTCTCACTGGCGGAGGATAAGTGGGAAGTGCAGGGCTGACTGGTGAGTCAAGGTTACCCGGCCAATCAAACGTTCTCGAGGTATCATCTGCATCGTTGAGACTAACTGCCTTCCTGAGGTGCAACGCATCAAGAAGGTTCTGCTTCAGCGAGTCATCTGCAGGTAAGGCTACAACCGCCTTCCCTTCATCTGTGGATAGCACACGGCTGTCCAATGCTAACTGGGGATGCCAACCAGGGGGTTGTGTATTCTTTTCCGGACAATACTTTGGCTCACGGTCCGCCCGCTGGGGAGGATCCGTTGCTTCAGGCGCAAGGGGGACAAACATGGCCATATTGGCAGCGATCCTGCTATCCAGATTGCCACGAGAATGACATGCCGAGCCAAATTTCGAGCCGAGGTCTTCGGTGCCAGAGTCTGTCCGTAGGGCATTGAAGATGGAACTCTCCTCACTCATCACGGATTCTGACAAGGTCGCTTTGCCTAGTGGTGTGGCTTCTCCCAGTGGTTCCACCTCCGTTGCGGAGACTTCATCCTCGTCGGAAGAGCCATGCTGAGTGACTGGGGGGTCCTGAGACTGAGTATCCATGATACCATGTAGGCAGGTCGTGCTGCAGGGCCACGTTCACATTGATATGAAGATGAGAGTGGACTAGAGAACATGCCACAAGGACGACAGCGCCGTAAAGGATTGAGGGTCCATGGCACCTTCCCTAGATCGTGCAGCCCTGGAAGGAAAGTACACAGCACAATGAAGAAGGCATGGCCTTTGTGTATAGCATTCGAATGAGCATTAGTAAGTAGTGAGAATCGGCGGACTGACCGACCGACAGAAATCAACTGCATGTGGTGCCATTGATGTTTTGCAAAATTCTCCGAATCAGAAATGTGATGAAGTTGAAGTGAACGGAGCAAGCAAAAAGGGGAAAAGACATGATTATTCGACTCTACTTCCCCAGTTATCCCTTACCTCAACTCACGTCGACTTCCTGACATTTTCTTTCTTTACAAGTAAGCATTCACAATGCATGGTTGTTATGAGACTTCATAAAAGGAACAACTTGTACTGGCTGTGGAACGTGCGTGAGCGATGAGATTAAATGATGATGATTATTGATTATTGATTAGATCCGAGCGCCAACCCCGGAAATGGAGTGAAACAGTAAAACGGGGCTGCTCCACTCCAAGGTTCAATCCTACGAACCACCAGGAAACCTTAGCATTTAGCAATATGCGGTCGGATATCCAAACTACCCACTCCCTTGGTAATGGATGATCATGGCCCATCAGTGGAGAAAGATAAGTTTTTAACGCATTATGATATAGCTTGTTGTACCCTATTCTTTTCTCTCAATTCTGGGATGTCTTTCGTCGATCTGATTGATATGCGGCGCGGATGCGAACATCCCCACCGCATGTGTCGAGGTGGTCGCGATGACTGTGATTGCGATGGGATGTTTTGGTTAAGTAAATTCACCTCCCAGTTGACGAATGAGGGAGCATACAATACGATAGATTCACATCGACTGCCACCAATAGCATCTCCTCCCCCTCCCTTGACCAAAGTTGGGGGAATCAGCCGAGGTCGGATCGTCGAGACCAAGAACAACGATGAAACCGGCCGTCATGAGACAAGACGATTCGAACCTCCTTTCCCAAAATTGAAGTAGCAGCAGTGCAACCCAACCATCGGTCCGCTTTATAAACCGTCTTAAAATCTATGGACGCCATCGTGTCTTGGGAAACGAGGCTAGGATAATATTAAAGCCACGGCGCTCATCCGTTCGTTAGTTGCGGTGAAATTGATTTAATTTAGTTGCCCTTTTCCCCCTCATTTAATGCTCCGCTCCTCGCCAGCGGGTCACGCAACCCACCAGCTAACTAGCTGTTAAGTTGTTGTTGTCGTCGTCTTCTCATGGACTCCAGAGCACCCCAGGATTCGGCAGGTTTGCACCATGGCTCTGCCACGACTGCCCCAGCTGAGCTGCCTCCGTCGGGCCCGGTCTACAAGGTCTACAAGCGGCGGTTCTGGGGACTGGCGCAGCTGGTGCTGTTGAATATTGTCGTTAGTTGGGATGTAGGTTCTCTTATGTCTGCCGCCATGAAAAATGAGTCCTCTTCTGATATCCATCATCGTCTAGTGGTTAACCTTTTCCTCGATATCAACTACTGCGGCTGAGCATTTCCGCGTTTCTGAGAGCGCCATCAATTGGATGAGCACTGGTTATCTCTTCGCTTTTTGTGTCGCCAGCCCGTGAGTCTAGCCCTGGATGCTTATCTCCACCTGCCTTCGGCGCCTGGAAGCGACTGAAACTCACGCTCAATCTTACTCTCAGCGTCGTGATCTTCACTCTCAATAAAGGTGGCCCTAAACCCGCCATCATCACCACTTCAACTCTCCTCCTCGTCGGCAATTGGGTTCGATATGCAGGGACCAAAGCGAGAGGAGGCATCTTCGGTGTCGCCATGTTTGGTCAGATCCTCATCGGACTCGCGCAGCCATTCTGTCTGAGCGCTCCAACGCGATACAGCGACCTCTGGTTTTCTGACCAGGGCCGGACCAGCGCAACGGCCGTAGCCACCCTTGCCAATCCGTTGGGTGCAGCTTTGGGAGAGCTGATCGACTCTTTCTGGGCGACCAAACCAAGCGAAGTCCCGAACATGGTTCTGTACATCTCTATCATCGTAAGCCTCCCTCAGAATCCTCCACACATAGATAGAACCAAAACCAGCCAGCCACGACATGTCCCACTCACCTACTAACAAACCCAAAAGGCAACGGTAGCAGCACTTCCCTCATTCTTCATTCCCTCCCAACCCCCGACGCCTCCAAGCGCTTCATCTGCGAGCACCAACGCCTCCACACCACTCCTCCCAGCTATAACCCAACTCCTCAGAACCCTCGAGTTCTACCTCATCCTAATCCCCTTCTCCATATACGTCGGCTTCTTCAACAGCGTTTCCTCGCTCCTCAACCAAATCCTCGAACCCTACTCATACACCGAAACCGAAGCCGGCATTGCAGGAGGCCTTCTAATCATCGTTGGCCTCATCGCCTCAGCCATCATCTCCCCCCTCACAGACCGCTACAAGCACTACCTCGCCACCATCCGCACACTTGTCCCCATCGTAGCAATCACCTATATCGCCCTGATCTTCGCCCCGCCCAGCCCCGCCGGCATCGCACCATCGTATGTCGTGTGCTCCCTCCTCGGCGCGTCATCCTTCGCCCTCCTCCCCGTCGTTCTAGAGTACCTAGTCGAAATCACGTACCCTTTCTCCCCGGAGATAGGAAGCACGATCTGCTGGACGGGTGGGCAGTTATTGGGCGCGATATTTATTCTAGTTCAGGATGCATTGAAGGCCGGAGAGGACGCTTCCCCGCCGGTCAATATGCAGAATGCGTTGATTTTCTCTGCTGTCGTGGCGGTCGTGGCTGCACCGTGGCCGCTTTGCATTGGGTGTTTTGGTCGTGATGTGAGGAGACGGAGATTGGATGTTGATCGAGGCGTGGAGCTGGGCCAGGAGGAGGAGGCTGCTGAGGTGCAGGGTGATGATGATGCGGAGCGTAGAGCTGGAGCTGGGGAGGATGATACTAAGAAAGGATTCTTGGGGTTGAGTGTGGCGTGGAGGAAGTAATCCTGGGAATCCTATAGTCAGTGTGTACAGAATGTACTTTGTGATTGATGATTGCACGTGTGATACCCGGGGCGTCCATCAAATGTGTCAATACCAGGACCTGTGACTGTAAATAAATAAATCAAGTAAAAATCATATGATGCTCAAGAAGAAGAATAAAAAGAAAGATAATAGAGGAATACCGAACAAAGTCTAGGACAAAATGACATTCATCTAGTAAACAAAAGGAAAAAATAAAATAAATAATAAAAGCACAAGTTTCAAACAAGGCAGAGACCAGCTATCTGTACATACACAGTTGAAGGCGACCGCCCCCCTTCTTAAGAACCATTTCCATATTCCATAGCCATCCATCTTTCATAGGGAGAAGGAAAGTAACAAACACGCATGTATCATCTAATCACCGACTCGCAACTCGTACCGTATTGTCGAGGGCGGCGGGCAGCGGTCGAGAGAGACAACACTGAATGTATGTATGCTCCTTTCCTTCTTTTTTCTTTTTGATCTTCATCAACGGCAGGCCCACATAGCCATCATATTGTGAATCAAATCAAGGGGGATCGATCCTAATATGCCTTTCTTTCTTTGTCTTCCTTCGTCGCGGAACCTGTCTTATCAACTTTCGGTCGTGCATTAGAAAGAAACGTAGCCCGCGGAGTGGAGTAAAGAAGATAAGAAAAAAAGACGTCTTTAGCTATCTATCGATCGACCGAGAGTGATTTGATGCGCTTATTTGAGGGCCTTCCAGAGCTTGGGGGCGGCGCACTGGGTAGCGCAGTGCGTGAGGTGGAAGACTAAGAAAAGGATGGTGGGTCAGTTTATGGGTTTTGTTGTTGTTGGGTTCGTCACGATTGCGATATGGAGTCGAAGGAATCGTGGTGTTACGGTGTGCTGGTCAACTTACACTCCTCAACGCAGTCCTCCTTGGGGCCCTTGTAGTCGGGGTCCTCCTGCTGCTGGGTTACGCGCTCGACGCACTCATCGAAGTGGTGCTTGTAGGGGGCGCACTGGGAAGAGTTGGCGCACTCTGAGAGAAGCAATTGATTAGTGAATGTTCGAATGGATGATAATATTTGCAATGGGATGAGTTGTTCCGAGTCAATGGCTCAGAATCGCATGACGTGAGGGTCGGTCAGCGTGCATCCATCTGACCGACTACCCGTCCTGTTGTCACAATGTCCGTCTGGAAACGAACTCTCCCTCCCCCCAAGGAAAATGCACGGAATAAGTGAAATATGAAAGTGACAGTAAACTTACCCTCCTCAAGCTGGGGCTTGATGTCCTCAGGCTCCTCTTCCTCCTCCTCTTCCTCTTCCTCCTCTTCTTCCTCCTCCTCAGCGGGCTCCTCCTCGGCGGACTCCTCCTCAGCAGGGGTCTCCTCAGCAGACTCCTCGGTGCTCTCCTCGGCGGCAGGGGCGGCCTCCTCCTCGTTGTTCACGGCGGGCTTCTCCTCAGCCTCGGTCTCCTGGCTGGGGGTGGTGGTGGTGGTCTCCTCGGCGGGAGCCTCAGCCTGAGCCTCGGGGAAGCCGAAGGAGGACATAACGTCGGAGAAGAAGTCGGAGAGACCCATCTTGTCTTTGAAATTGGTTTCAATTGAGGGAAGAGGGCGAGAAGGGGGGGCGTGTGGGCGGTGGATGTCGCGGTAATGAGGATGGGGTTGGTTTTAACGAACTCGAAGCTTTGGCGTTGCTGGTTTCTGCCGGCCCTGGAAAATCGGAACACCCCGGCCGCCGGGCGATGGTCGCAATTATCGTACACGTGATTGGCCGCTCGGGTCGGCCGTGACTAATGCGGTAATATTTCGTTTTCTTACTTATCAAATTAATTAATTAGTTGGTTAATGTTCGTGCCGTTCCGTTGTTGTTGTTACTTTAACTACTGGGGCTACTATTCGTGATGCATTGTATTTCAACAATAAAATTCCAAGTAGTATACAGAAAAAACGGATTAAGAGGCCGCTTGGGCTTGAGGCTACCGCCGGAATATGTGTGTAGGAAATTGGAGACTATCTAGTCATGGAAGAAAGCATTGGATACGGCACCCGTCCTGGCTTCAACTGGCTCGACGCAGTCTCTCCTCGAGCGCTTCCGCCACACTCTGCTGCTGCACCTCTTCATAATCCGGTGGTGGCTCCATCGGCTCCGATCCCGCCTCTGGCCCTGTGTGTTGAGACTGTGGGCTTACAGGTTGCTGTGCGGTACTGTGGTCTGCTGCGGTTGTGCCACCCGATGGGCCGGTGTACGCAGGTAGCTCGTCGAGGTGGATTGCAGACATGTCAACATTCCGGGCGCCTCGACTGCTCGCCTGCGTATTCTCGACAGCCTGTTGTAGACGCTCTTTGATTCTTTCGAAATTGTTGTGGAAATCAAACGCCCCTCCCTCTTTGAATGTCACTTTGAGCTGCACAGCAGGCAACGACGCAGGGATGCCTCCTCCAGATACCGGTTGGACTAGCGCCAACCATGCATTGGGCCCAAAGAATGGTGCAGTGACATGGGCGTCATGGACATTGAGTAATGGTGTGGAAAACGATTGAAACTCTTTCGTTTGTTGCGCGGGAATGTAGACGATCTGACATGATTATGTTAACGAGAGCCTGTCAGATGATAGGGTCCAAAAGCAAGACAGTACCCTCTGATTTGTCAGGTAGACTCGACCGGCGCTGCTTTGCATGGAAAAAGAATCCTTGCTGGCGCTAGAGCCTAGGGGTTGCAGAGACAGCGTTGTCCGCGGAGGAGAGGCGAACAACTGATGCTCATTGGGTAGTCGAACAAAGCCTTCGGGGCCTTGCAGCATCACCCAGCTGTTGTATTGGGTATTTATTAGCATAGTTTCTTCGGGCGTGCTATCCCCATTCTGGGTTGAAACAAGTATACAACGCAGGTCTTCTGACTGATAAGTGTGCATGCTAGGGTGTCATGGGATGATGCGAGAGAGACAAGGGAGAAGGAAGTTGATCCATCTGATACAGCATAACAGAGATAACAAATCAGAGGTGATGAATCGAGGAAGAAAAACCATGGAGACTGAGTGCATGCAGAGCGATAATAAGAGTAACTCAACTGGGCATGGTGGGGAACATCTACATACTTGATCGACATCTTGTCAAAGCCACGATCGAGAACGTGGTCTGTGTGGCTGAGTGCAGACTGCGCCGGGATGCAGGCTAGATATTGTAGGATTCAGATAGTATATCGTTCGAGGATGAGTTATTGGAGGGATGGATTCAGAGTGCAGAATGAAGAGAGGGCAGTATTGGCTGAAACAACCCAACCAATGAGTAGCACCAGGGTCCAGTTTCAGGTAAGACGATCCAGGGATGATTGGCGGGACGGAAATGATGAGAATTCTCCAAGGGTTGGTGAATGGTTTTCCGATCGCTGATAGAGCGATCCCAGACAAAAAGAATGTCAGATGTGGTATTCTAGATTCCACTTCGTTGATGGCGGCGAAGCACCCGAAAGTGGCACTGATGGGACGTGAGGCGATAGTAGCTAGTAGCTGTAACGGACCACTTCGTATAATGGCAAAATGTGTTGAGTGATATCTTTTCTTCTAGTTGTGTGGTAATGGTATTCGATGGAGCAACACACCTCCTAGAGGTTTTTAACGATGCCCAGGAATTTCTGAAGGAAAGCAAGCCAGTGAAGCCCGAAGGCGGGAGACGAAGCAGTCCGCGGGGCGGCCGTCAGGCGGGGAAGCTTTTCCAACTCTCCAACTCCTTACACTCAAGGTGTCTCGGTTCGAGCGGCTGGCCAGTTCGGACTTCTCTTCAACATGTCGGACATACAGAAGGAGCCTTCATATTGGCGCCGAATCTATCCAGAGAGGTTTGGGAACGCAAAAGGATTCGAACATCCAAATTGCAATCCTTATTAGGCCAAATTCGGCTTCCTTCTTTCCGGCCTTATCTTATTCTTACCATGGATGAACTAACTAGGGACTACTGCGTCCACTACTCGCATACTTCCTGTGCCCCCTCGCCCGGAAACCCAATCATTCCCGCATGCGATATAGTGCCTTAATTACAATTGGTTGAATGGCAGAGTGGATGTCAGTCTAGCAATTAAGTACCCAACAGGATGATTAAGCTAACACAGAGTTCATTTCTGTGGATGGAAGCCTGCATACTCTACCCTGGTGTCGACGTCCACGGACCTCAAAAGTCGATAATTTGCAGCAATTCTATCATTACGCTCATGCAGGATTCAGGGATATGGACATGTATCATGGAATCAAAGCAGTATTAGCGATCTCGTTTGCTAGGTAGATAACACGGACCTCTCGTGTCTCCAGAGGCGGAAGACTAATCGGTGGTTGGACGCATGGACACTATCGGCACGGTCAGATATAGTTGAATAGCTAGCTAGCCAACTCTTCGGAGATATTGTTCCTTGGACTAAGCAACTTAACAGTTCTGCACCAACTCTTTGTGTATGACCTGAGATAGACCTACGATCCCAGGGGTTTCGAATAAACTACGCACTCCCCAGCAACAACTATTCGCCAACAATCCTATCAGGCAACATGGAATGACTCGACATTCTGTGGAATCCCCTACCAAGTCCAACCATATTGAAGGAGCTTGACTGACTCCTTGCATCAGAATGGTAACAGTCAAAAGACGAGGATGGGTGGCGCTAATGTACGAAGCTAATCTGGACCCAGAGGGCTGTCCTCGAACAGAAGATGATAAGGACGAAAGCCACCCATGCCTATTGCCAGAATTATTTCGATTCAGCCATGACCATTGAAATACAATTCTCTCCTGGAATGTATCTGCCAGCGTGGCTGTCATGCAAGTTCACAGAGCGATGGTAGGTGCTTGTTTTGGTTGAAGCTTGTCTGTCAGCTGACAAGCAAAAGTGGCTGCATGTGGCCCAGGGGAATTTTGTCGCTGTGCAGTTTCAACACCATCTCTCTACAAAAGCTTCTCCGACGACATTCTCTTTCCTGCCTGTTCGGGGAGGTTCAGGATTGCCGGTGAGGCAGCAAAAGGCATCCTCAGGCATGGCCCGGGCCAGGCTGGGGAGCAGCTCGAAGGCCGCGGTTACGTTGAGAGCTGTTATTGGGTCTTTACACGTGGAGAAAACCGTCCGATCAAAGTCACGGCCGACCCACCCCGTCTTCCATCCAGGTTACGTTTCCCCCTTCTGCGCTATTTCCTTTGCCTCTTCGCTCGTTGTCACCGCTTTCTGCGACTTCAATTCCCTCGTGGTTCATTTTGTGGTATTCCGTCACTCCTTGAGGGTCCGCCGAACCGACGATCCCCGTTACGCCCCCGGGTGACGATCGAACGCGAACAAAAAAAGAACAGTGTAGCCTGATGAGCACGGCCCTACCGGGCACATCTCCAAGCTTACATTACCCTTACTACACCTCTGGTGGCCGTCATCTCTTTCATATCTGCTCTCCAGTTCACTAGGGTGTGGCTGCTTGGGTCCACTTGTCCGAATATCGAGATACTGCCTGCTGCATCGCCCCTGCACTACACGGACGCCCCCCGTCTTGCATCGTGAAACCTCCGCTTCTCTCGCAGCCTTCCACAAACCAGCCCTTTTCGACTCGGAAAAGCTTGTCATACTCTGAAATATACGCATAATCATTCAATATGTCGACATCGATACACTTGTCGAGGTTCCGGAAATGGCTCCTTGCTTCGCCGCCAATCGAGTTTGCCATTGGGCAACTTCGGGACCTCTTGGTTGGAGCAATCCGACAGGGTCCCGTTCCACAACACATTGCGTTTGTCATGGATGGTAACCGGAGGTTTGCCCGAACGCACGGGATTGAAACGGTGGAAGGACACAACATGGGGTTTGAGGCTTTAGCAAGGGTGAGTCCGATGGAGTTCGGTTCATAGAGAACTTCCGTCTTCCGCCAGTGTCAGCTGCTAACTTATACCGTGGTTTTAAGATTCTCGAAGTCTGTTACAAGAGCGGCGTTAAAGTGGTTACAATCTACGCCTTCAGCATCGAAAACTTCAAACGCTCCAAGTTCGAGGTGGATGCATTGATGGAGATGGCCAGGGTGAAGTTGTCGCAGATGGCTCAGCATGGCGAGATCCTCGATCGCTATGGGGCCAAGGTGCGGATATTGGGTCGGCTGGACTTGCTCCGGCCGGATGTTCTCGCTGCAGTGAACCGGGCCGTGGAAATGACCAGCAACAACGGTGACTGCGTATTGAACATCTGTTTCCCGTATACGTCGCGCGATGAGATTACCACGGCTGTCCGGGATACCGTGGCCGAGTACAGCCAGCCCCTTCCGTCGACTCGTCCGTCGTCTATCTCCTCGAGGACACCCTTTTCCGAATCCCACATTACACAAAACATTCGAGCACAGACGCAGGTTTCGAAAGGGGAAGAGGTACCGAGTGACTCGGAAGCGGCATCAGAGTCATCAGGAGACGGCGAAACGACGAAGCACAAGACACCGAACGGAGTCTATGAAAACGGATCTTCGTTTTCTTCCTCGTCGACTCTCCACCTGGCCGGGCAACAAGATGCTGCCAATGGGAAATTACCAGCAGCAGAGCCCGCCGTTGGGAAGGAGAGCCTTGTCTTTATGTCCCCCGAGACGATTACGCGCCAGACGTTGTCAGAGCATTTATTCACCCATGACAATCCTCCTCTAGATCTGCTGGTCCGGACGTCTGGAGTTGAGCGTCTTAGTGACTTCATGCTTTGGCAATGCCACGAGGATACGGAGATTGTCTTCCTCGACGTTCTATGGCCGGAATTTGACCTTTGGCAGTTCCTGCCCGTGATGCTGAGATGGCAGCGTCGAATCTCCAAGTCAAAGAAGAACCCGGATGCGGAGGGCAACTTTGACGGCGATACGTCTGACTCTGCGGAGGAAAGTAATGGCAAGGTCAAAGACCTGTAGATTGTTATGTTCACTTTTTCATCTTTTCTCTGTTGTTGTATACATGGACTGGGTTATCGTCCTGGCATCGATCATTGGGAGTTTTGGAGTCATCCTTGGGAGCATTGACAAATATTCCCCCCATCCTGTCATCCATCTAGAATTTATAGCACTCACTGAGCTGCAAGCTGAAAGAAAAGGGTTCCATGATGAGCATATAGATGCAGACATTGCACATAATCTATAGTTATATACTCTACGGGACAGCATCTCCACCTCGGGGAATCACGGATCATGTAAAATAATCAGATAAAATAGAGTGTCCGCTATCGCAGCCTCCGATACCGCATCCGACCAAGTGGGCAGCCACACGTGACTCACACTGGCGGGGGAATCGAAGCAACCACTCGCAACACTGACTCAACTCTGTTTCCTCTCCTGATATTGTTTTCTTCCTGTTTTCCAATCTAATACCCTGATATCTTCCCAATTGCCATCATGCCTGTCGCCGGTTCCAAGGTTCTCCTGTTGGGCTCGGGCTTCGGTATGTCTCCCATCTCTCTTCCACTCTCCCCCGCCGATTCGGACCCCGCATTGGGGGTTCAATTGATGGACTCCTTCCCACTGACTCAATGTCTCGATAGTCACGAAGCCCACCGTTGAGGTTCTCAGCAAGGCCGACGTTAACGTCACTGTTGGTACGTACAGCTCAGTTGATAGAGTTCCTCTATATCCAAACCCTATCCAGTAGCATCGAACATAGCTGACCATCGTCTACTATACCCCAACAGCCTGCAGAACCCTCGAGAGTGCTCAGAAGCTCTGCGAAGGCTTCAAGAACACCAAGGCCATCTCCCTCGATGTCACCGATGATGCTGCTCTCGACAAGGCTCTGGAGCAGGTTGACCTCGCCATCTCCCTAATCCCCT